CTCTCTCTCTCTCTCTCTCTCTCTCTCTCTCTCTTACTCACTCTTACTCTTAATCTCACTAGTTTCATTTGATTTTTTCCAATTTGTGAATATTTTCCTTGCAAGTCATATATAGCTCCTTGCAACTAGAATATTGATAATTCGATTTACTGCCTTATCACGCGAGGCAAAAAAAGCGCGCCATTTTTCATACGTCATAACGAAAACAAATGAGCATCGACCGTTAGCTGTGACGTCACGAGCGTAAATAATGATCCTAAATACACCGTCAGAATAACCTACGTAATACATGGGTAAAAAAAAAAGGGGGACAAGAAATTATTTTAAAAAATAAGAATGTAAAGGGTAAAAAAAGGAAGAAAAGATAAAAAGATAAACAAATTTCTCACCTTATGATGTTTGCTTTAACTCCCCCCCCGCCCCCCCGAAAAATAAGACCAGAGAAAGAAAACGGGAAAGCAATAAAGTTTGCCAAGAGGAAAATACAAAAAAAGAAAGGAAAGAGAGAGAGAGAGAGAGAGAGAGAGAGAGAGAGAGAGAGAGAGAAGAGAGAGAGAGAGAGAGAGAGAGAGAGAGAGAGAGAGAGAGAGAGAGAGAGAAACTTTCCTCTCTGTGCTACAATGCCGATGGTATTTAGAGAGTGAAGTAATTTAAATAAAATAATGTGAGAGACGAAATAAATAGATGAATGTTTAAACGAATTAGTACGTGGAATAAAGCGAAAAAAAGAGGAAGAGAGTGAAAGAAAGAAAAAAGAAAGAAAGGAAGGAAGAAAGAAAGAAAGAAAGAAAAAAAACTTCATATCCGCGGGGAAAATATGCAATTATCAAGTTCGAAGAAAATATACGAAAAAAAAAAAAATCCAGAAAACCGTTGGAATTCAAATTTAAAAGAAAAAGAAAACGTAAACTAAAAAGAAAACGAAAAAAAGCGAAAGAAAATGAAGGAAAGATTTCAAAGCAAATTAAGCCAAATACAAATAACTGAATAAATAACTGAATTCCTCTTTTTTTTGCGTCTAGTCTCCCGTCTTAGAATTTATTTACTTGTTTTGCGTTGATGAAAATGATCATTTATCCTTTTGAGAAATTTACGAAATAGAAAACGAAGTGAGAGAACTTGATGCGTTTCTATGAGATGAAATTGTTTTAATAATACGAAATTATAATAATATAGAATGAATAGAGGAATAATAAACAAATAGATTAAGAAGTTCATATACTTAAACAAGATGGTGAAGATAATGATAAAAAAACCTAGATAAATGAAAATAAGGAATAATGATAAAAAGTATGAGGAACTAGAAAAAAAAGTCATACACAGAAAAGGTTTACGAAATAACAACTAAATTGAATTACAAAAAACACAAGGTATAGTTGTCCTTATACTGAATAAAAGATTTGAGTCCATTTCAGTTAGTTTGATGTTATGTAGCTAATTCAGGAGGAGGAAATTGAGTTGTTGTATCGTAATAAAACTATACTGTGTTTTATTTACGTTCTCCATTTTTAGTTTCTGTTATGTACTATGTACTGCTTGTCTCTCTTTTTCGCTCTTTGTCTGTCTGTCTGTCTGTCTCTCTCTCTCTCTCTCTCTCTCTCTCATTCTTTCTCTCTCTCTCATTCTCTCTCTCTGTCTCTCTCTGTCTCTCTCTCTCTCTCTCTCATTCTCTCTCTCTGTCTCTCTCTGTCTGTCTCTCTCTCATTCTTTCTCTCACCCACGCCCCCCTTCTCTCTCTCTAATATATTCATATAAAATATAAATTCAACCATTATCATGAACAACATTACCAACATCATCTTCATTATTTTTATCACTACTATTATTATCATTACCATTATCCCTATCATCATCTTTATCCTTATCACTATCACCATTTTTTTCTCTCTCTACGTGACATCAAAGCAAGATTCCCACACGCGAAAAAATGCAAATCCGCTTTATTTTCGCGCTCCTGAAAAGCAAGTCGGGAAACGCAAACTCTAATCCTGTTGTCCCAGTGAAACGCAAATTTACGCTGAAGCTTTCCTGTCTTGCGTTTCATAGGGCGAATAGGAGGATATATATATATTTTTTTTTCATGATTTCATCTTTCTTGGGATTTTCTTTTTTTTCTTTTAACTAAGTTTTATTTTCTTTTTGAGTTTTACTATGTCGTCTTTATTGTGATTTTTTTTTTTTTTTTTTGGGGGGGGGCTTTTGACTATTTTTTTTCTCTCTCTTTTTCGTGTTTTTATTTATTTTTTTTTTCAATTTCGTGTTTTTGTTTATTTATTCATTTTCGATTTCCTGTTTTATTCTCTCTAATTTTATATTTGATTTAAATACATTCACGCTCATTTACCTTCTTACTTTCACTCTTACTTTTTCTTTTACTCTCACTCTCTCTCCCTTTCTCTTTTTTTTTTTTAGTTTCATTTGATTTTTTCCAATTTGTGAATATTTTCCTTGCAAGTCATATATAGCTCCTTGCAACTAGAATATTGATAATTCGATTTACTGCCTTATCACGCGAGCAAAAAACGCGCGCCATTTTTCATACGTCATAACGAAAACAAATGAGCATCGACCGTTAGCTGTGACGTCACGAGCGTAAATAATGATCCTAAATACACCGTCAGAATAACCTACGTAATACATGGGTAAAAAAAGGGGGACAAGAAATTATTAAAAAAATAAGAATGTAAAGGGTAAAAAAAGGAAGAAAAGATAAAAAGATAAACAAATTTCTCACCTTATGATGTTTGCTTTAACTCCCCCCCCCCCCCCCAGAAAAATAAGACCAGAGAAAGAAAACGGGAAAGCATAAAGTTTGCCAAGAGGAAAATACAAAAAAAGAAAGGAAAGAGAGAGAGAGAGAGAGAGAGAGAGGAGAGAGAGAGAGAGAGAGAGAGAGAGAGAGAGAGGAGAGAGAGAGAGAGAGAGAGAGAGAGAGAGAGAGAGAGAGAGAGAGAGAGAGAGGAGAGAGAGGAGAGAGAGAGAGAGAGAGAGAGAGAAGAGAGAGAGAGAGAGAGAGAGAGAGAGAGAGAGAGAGAGAGAGAGAGATAGAGAGATAGAGAGATAGAGAGATAGAGAGAAAGAGGGAAAGAGGGAAAGAGGGAAAGAGGGAAAGAGAGAGAGAGAAAGAGAGAAAGAGAGAAAGAGAGAGAGAGAGAGAGAGAGAGAGAGAGAAAGAGAGAGAAAGAGAGAGAGAGAGAGAGAGAGAGAGAGAGAGAGAGAGAGAGAGAGGAGAGAGAGAGAGAGAGAGAGAGAGAGAGAGAGAGAGAGAGAGAGAGAGAAATCTGCCATTCACCCCACTGAGATATTTGATCCTTGCAATATTTTCAGCGTTAGGAAGGAAAGCGTATGCAAAGCTGTTTGTTATGGCGCTATCTTGCAAAACATGGCGTTTGGTCGTAAACAAACTTTGTGGTCCGAATGTTAGAATGGAAGTCCATTATTCAATAAATGTTTATTTTTTCCTCGATGTTGGAATATATATATCATATATTTATATTATTATATATATATTATTTTAACTAATTTATATCAATGTCATTTCTTATTATGTATATATATTTTTTTTTTCTTTTTAGTTTTGTCCTTTTTTGTTTATTTATTTCAGCTAGTTTTGTGTTTATGTTATATCTTTTTATATTTATATATATTTTTTTCGTAAGTTTCGCTTAAAAAGAGAGAAAAATGTTTTTCGTAAATATACTGTTTCCGTTTTTTGTCTTATTAAATCATTTAACGTTTCGCTTGACATTTTCTAATTATGATTATGATATGATTTCTAATTATTATAAATAAAATACTATATTATTACTGATTCTAACTAACTCACTGCTCTTTTTATTTATCAAATGATTCTTAAATTTGCAATCTGTTTGTTCGTGTTTCAGCTATTTTATCTTCGTTTTCAGATTAGCTAATCACTTCATAATGAAATGAATTGTATCATTCTTTACAATGTGTAGAGACGTAAATGGAAAAAAAAAGTTTGAAGCATAATGCCTTCAAAAATAACAAAGAAAATTCAATAAACAACATAAACACAAAACAACAACAAAAGAAATCAAAGAAAAAAACAAAAACGAAAAAAAAAATCAACCAAAATTCTCTCAAGATTCCTATTTTTCATTTGATTTTTTTTTTCCATTATCGTTCTGTTCTAGGAAAAAAAAAACCTTTGTAAACTCGCAGATATCTCTTGTTCCACCACATTAAGTTCCATTCCCTTCCTTTGATGCGAAAAAGCTTTTGGTTCAGATAATGTGGGTCTCCAATGACAAATATCTTGGTGCTTTATCAACTGTCGGTGTCTGTGGGCGTGGGTGGGCGTGGGTAGGGGGCGTGGGTAGGGCGTGGGTGGGGTGTGGGTGGGGGGTATCGAGAACAGCTAGGATACCTAATATGATTATTATGTTATAGTATATTTTGGGGGGATATATTGGGGGTAGGGGATAATATGTGTTGTGTGTGTGTGTGTGTGTGGTTGTGTGCATGCGCTTGTGTAGGCGTGTGCTTGCGTGTGTATGTGATTGTGTGTGTGTTCGTTTTTGTGTGTATGTGTGCTTTTTTAAATGTTTGCGCGTGTGTACATTTTTTTGTGTTGCAAGTTTCTGTTTTTTGTTTGTTTGTGCGTGTGTGCAATTTCTTGTGTGTGTTGCAAGTTTCTGTTTTTTTAATGTACATGTTTGAGAGGATATCTGTGTGTATGTATATGTGTTTTGTCTGTGTATATGTGTACATGTACAGCATCGTGAATAAATATTATCTAATCTCATTCTAATTTCATGTGACACTAAACAGAATCCATGGAAATATATATAGGTGAAATTCAGGTGCCGAAAAAAATCCATTGGCTTTTTAGTTTTTATTCATCATTACTTATATTAATTTCCTCTTTTTTAAGGTTACGAAGTTAAAGAAAAGAAAGAAAGAAAAAAAAGATGTTGAAAAAAAGAGAAAAGGAAAGAAAAAGATAAATATATATTTTTTTGGTCATTGTTATATATTCCTTTTTAATTTTTCAGTAATATCATTACCTTTCTATCATTTCTTTTCTAGACCTTAAAAAAAGAAAAAGAGAGAAAGAAAAAAAAAGAAAATATATATATATATTACAATTTTCTTTTTCTTTGTTTTACTTGTTTTCTCAAGTCCTTCAGAAATTTATATATTTTAATTCAATTTTCTTATTGAATTTTCTTTCGTCCCCTAGAAAAATCATTATCTATTTTATTTCTCTTATTTTCTTACTTTCTAGTTTCCTAATAATGATATTTCTGAAGGAGTGAAGGACACAGATAATGAGAAAACAAAATAGTAATAATAAAATAAATTTAAAAAATATTCTTGAAGAACAGTCTCTCTCTAATTCCCTTTTTTATTCTTCTCTCTTTTCTTTCTCTCTTTTAAGTTTCTGAAATCCTACAGAAATATCATTATTCATTATCATTAATTCCCTTTCTTAATTTCTTCAAAATTCCTTCACACCCTCAAAGGAAATAATAGTTTGTCTCCCTTTTTTTATTCTTTAATATTCTTAAGTACTACAGAAATATCACTCTCTTTATATTCCTTTAATTTTCTTATATTCTATGTTTCCTAAAAGTCCTTCACACCCTCAAAGAACCAGGAGGCTCAGGAGTTGTTCAGAGAAGAACAGTTTTTCTCCAGTTCCCTTTTCATTCTATAATATTCTCTTGATTTTATTTAATTTTCTTACACTCTAATATTTTTCCCAAAATTCCCTCACCCTCAGAGGACCAGGAGGCTTGGGAGTGTTCAAAGAAGAACAGTTCTTCTCCAATTCCCTTTTTATTCCATAATTTTCTCTTCATATTCTCTTAATTATCTTTAATTTTCCTCCACCCTAATATTTTCCCAAACGTCCCTCACACCCTCAGAGGACCAGAAGGCTCTGGGGTGTTCAAGGACGAGCAGTTTTTCTCCAGTTCCTCCGCGTCGACGCTGTGGAGACTCACCCACTGCTTCCAGTCGTCGTTCCTCGGCCCACAGAACCCTCCGTAGACGTGGACGTTCAGCCACCTGTCCTTAGCGAGCCACAGGAAATCGCAGTCACACTGGATGAAGTTGTCTGTGGGAGGAAAGGGCGGAGAGAAGTGTCTGAGGGGGTGTTGAGGAAGGTGTGGGTCGTATTAGCGAGGAGGACTGCGTGGTATTGGGTGTGTGGGTTTTTGTGGTACTGAGTTGTTGTTTTTTTTGAGAATTTTTGTGCAGTTTTGAGAATTCTTTCCCCCTGGTTTTGAGAATATTCTTGTTGTTTTGAGAAGGTTTTTTGTGGTTTTGAGAATATATTTGTGGTTTTGAGAATGTTTTTGTTGTTTTGAGATTTTATTCTGCTTTTGAGAATTTCTTTTTGTTTTGATGATTTTTCTGTGTGATTTTGAGATTTTTTTTTCGTGGTTTTGAAAAGGTTTTGGAGGCGTTGAGGAGGACACTCACAGTAAAAATCGATCCCCGTC